CCATTAATCAGGTTTTACAGTTTATCTTCTAAAAAATTTGCCAAAAACGTACGTCCGTATAAAAAACTTTTAAATCCCCAACTCTATGAGAATTTAATAAATTCTTATTTGGATTCTGATAGTGTACCAAGCGATGATATTTTATTCCCTAGATGTAGAAACGTTGATGGAATTATTGATTCAAATATTGTTGATTTAAATATTGTTTCTATAATTTCAAGATGGATTGATAACATAGATACTAAGAGCAAGTTTACTCATTTAAGAGAATTATATTTTCCATATCAATTTCATTTATTATTATGAGGAACTAGAGATGGGTTTACTCCTAAAACTTTTCATGCATTATGTGACAACATACCTTATACTGTTACATTTATTAAATTAAAAGGATCGGAAGAAATTCTTGGAGGTTTTAATCCTTTAATATGGAAGAAATCTGATTTCTTTGGCGAATATGGTCTAACTAAAGATAGTTTTATATTCTCTTTAAAAATAAGGATAATTTTAAGGATTCAATTTTAAGCAAGGTAAAAAATATAGATCATGCAATATGTTATAATTTTTGGCGTGGTTTCTCATTTAGTGATTACCTTTATTTTAAACTAAGTCAAAATAAAGGTATTGTTTGTAATCTAGCTGATTATGAGGAGATAATAGATTCAAAAATAGAAATCTCAATAGAAGTTTATGAAATATTTCAAATTTTGAAGAACGAGTCGTAACGTACTATATATAATTTCAATTATTTTTTAAGTAATAAATGTTCTGAATCAGATGGTTTAAGTTAATTAAATAAATTTTCAATTGGTTCCTTTTCCCAGAATTCATCAAATGGATGGATGTGTTATATTTCCGGATGTTATAGTGAAATTTACGCTCAAAATTACCAATTCATGAAACTCCAAGAAACAATATGTAATTTGTCAATTCTGCCAGTTCTGATTTTTCTGGCATTTCTGATCGAAATATGAGTCAGGTTATTTTAACCAATTACATAGCCTTGATTAATTAGTTACTTCTAGATAGAATTTTATATTATTAGATTTCGCTTTTGCTTTGTTTTAGATAGTGTTACACTCAGCTCTTTACCGGTGTTAGACCTGGAATCGTCTCAAACCAAGCTAACAAAACTAATAAACTTAATAACACAATTATCTCAAAGGCCTTTCCTAAGAGAAATTAACGATATACAAACAAAACAATTTATTATCACGATTCACTTGTGTAGTAGGTTATCACGATCAATCCTATGATGAAGACAAGAAGAAGGTTGAAAGTGTAAAATAGTAACTTTATTAAACTGTAGAGTTATAAGTCTAGTCTCAAGACTTATTCAGAAAACTATCTGATCGAACTCTGTTGACTCAAGGTCAACTTACAGGTCTATTTATATAAAATTGTTAACTAATACTATACTACGCTTTTCAATAAGTACATATAATGAAAATAATATAAGTAATGAAAAGTAGACTATATAATATTTATATTAAAAGGTAAATTATTCGATACATGTATTATAAAGTCGACTAAACGATACATGTATTACATGTTTAACATGTATGATATTTGGCGCAGTTGAAGATCATTTCAAGGCACAGTATAAACTGCGGCTAACACTGGCAGCAAATTCTGTTTTCAAGATCTACTTTAGCTTTTGGCAAGGTAAGTCCTTGACTTTTATGCACTGTAATTTCCCAAGGCAAATAAGGACTTGCAGTCATGAAAATTGCCTGTGTTTTTACTTTACCATGTGCGTCAGATCGGTACAATCGGGACAACTTTGGTCCCATCTAAAGCAGGCCTTGATAATTATCAAATGTGATAAGTATTGCTGTTGGAAGGTGAGGTTGCCCTTGTTTAGTTACCGTATCCCTAGTATTATTATCTTATCTATATTGTAATGTTAAATAAAATCTTATATAAAAGACTTATAATAAAATTCTTATTCTCGCTTTCAAACTTCGTGTCTCTATATAAATCTTATTATAGTTCGAATTTGTCAATAAGTGATTTATTATAGTTTTACCAGTGATCTCGTCGAAACCCAAGAGTTTTTGCCAAGCGACTATAAAGTGAATCGTATTGATCAAATTTTTCTTTCTTTGGCCTAAGTTAATTGCTTGTTAAATGGGTTTCAGTATAATTTCAGGAAACAGAAGCATAGCTCAGTTTCTTAAGTGTTTCTTAATTTATAATTTCGACTTTCGACGATTTTATAGTTTAGAAGCTTAGAATATCTAAAAAAAATAAAAAATCTAAATAAGTTTCGCTTTTTTTTTTAATAAAAAATACATACAATTTTATAACTGCAAAAAAAGCAATTTCGATTCATTATTATAAAAATCGCTATTGATCCCTTAAATCTATCTCTGGAGAACTATAAATCTAGAGAATGGAAACAATTTATAATTATGTAATGATAAAAGATCAAATAAGAAAACAGTTGTATAAAACAAATTCATTTAATCTACAACATTTAAGAATTTGTTTTTCTTTTGATGCGATTCACCTGTAAAAAAGTATAGTTATATATTCTTTGTAAAGTAGTATTTAGTTATTCCATTAACTTTAAGCCTTCAGAAATAACCGTAGTATGATGAATTTTAAAAGGAACTTGAGGGATTTCTGGTTGGGAAAACCTTATGTTACATATAAAGTACTGTACGTCATTATAGTTAATAATTAGGAGTTTCATTAATGAATCATTATTTTCCTTCGAAGATACAATTCTTTAATTCTGTTTGTTTGTTGACTTAAAATACCTTAAAATAAATTTTATAATGAGGTTACTATGTATCTATCTACATTTAGTAGAGTTTATTCCTAATTAATTGAGATCAAAATTTCGTTCTTTCGAGAGATAATTAAGATTCGTATAAAACGAATTTGCGTCTTAAAACATCAACAAAAAAAATTCTTTCCAAAATATCATCACAATACTACTTAAAATAATCAGGGTTGTGTGATGAAAAAGCAATTAAATAATGATTTCCTCGATAATACTTTAATGGAAATATCGATCATTATTAACTAAATTTACGCGAAAAAAAAAAGGTATAAAAAAAGCGAATCTTAGTATTTACTTCACAGTATGTAGCTTGAAATTTTTTAAATTTTTACTTCTTTTGAGATGAGCACGAACATAAACTTTTAACCTCAAATTAATATTAATTATTTAAACAAAAACGAGTGGAGCATCTCGATTTCGACGCACGCGATCTTTTTCTCAACAATCACGATCCTCTGCCCTAAACTCACGATCTCCTCGATTCTCAAATACAGGATTTGCGAGGGATGGTGAACCTCGCGCGGTGAATGAACAACTATCATATTAAAGGATCGAAAAATCTGAAGAACGACTTAATATTCTCAAAAATGAACTTTGTTAACAAATTCTCATTGACAAATAATATAAAATAGCAGCAACAATTTGGACTTTCGACGCAACAAAAGATTTAATAAATCTTTGATTTAATTATAGAGATGATTATAATAACATTCTTTCTTTATGGTCAGATGAAATTAATATGGATCACCCAATGCCTCGAAGTTTTATATTTGGGTCCTAATGGTAGTAATATTGCTATTGTAACCCAAATGCGTTACAACGGAGCTAAGAAGATAATACACAGACCCAGGAGAAGAAAATAAATTATTTATGAAGGGAGATCGATTTGTATTCTAAAGCATTTTATTTATTTTTGAAGAACAAGTTAAAAGATATAGTTGGATCGTGGAATGACAGATAGATTATAAAGTGGTAATTATTTCATTATAATAACCAAACCAAAAAGATAACGAACATTAGAATAATAAATAATAAAATATTGTCCTGTTATTTTTAAGAAAAAAAATCACCATTATACACCATCAAAGTCAGATTCATCTTAACTTATTAAAGTACATGATCGAACTGTAAGGAATATACAGTAAGACCAACAAAATTAAAGAATTAAACCTAAATTTAAAAGTTATATATATAAATATGCATATTTTTTTATTTCTTTCTTGATTTTTCAATAAAAAATAAATAAATAAATAAATGTATTTAGGAATTTCATTTTAGTCAACGATAGGTATAAAAGTTGAGTTTAAAAGAGAAATTATTTGATTGTTGATGAAAGAACGGGAAGTTTTAGATTTTTGAAAAAAAATAAAATAAAATTATACAAAAAGAAAAAAAGAAAAAGAAAATTTTTGTTTAATAAAATTTAACCTAATTCACAAGAGATACAAAGCAATGCAATTCGTTGATATGCGCGATTTATGTTTTACAATTCACTAATTAAAAATCGCTATTCTTTAATTATTTTACAAGTGTTGTGTAACTTGCTCAAAGACAAACCTTAATAGACTAAAAAAAAAAACAAAAAAACAATGAGTGTTATCCGAGCATCAATTAAGCAATCTCATTAAAAAATACCATTTTATAATCCATCATTTATAAATAACCTATGATCTGGTTTTGGTCTTTAAATATTATCCTAAAAATGAATTAATAAGTAGCTAAAACGTGCGCAAAAAAACAATTAAATAATTGTATTTTAAAGTCAACGACGAATAATCATTAAAAATTAATTTGTGGAAATTTTCAACTTTAAAAAAAAAAAAAATTTGATTCGCTCTATAAGTTGTTGTTAGCTTGAAAATATTAACTAACTTTGTTCATTTCCTTATTCCATCCATGTAAATTGACGTACAGTCGCGTCCGAAAGTGATGCCCGATTTAAAATTTATGCCAAAAATGGCAAAACTTTATTGACTTTCATTAAAATTCACATAAAAAATAATTACTAAAAATGGTTAATAATGTGTTGGCCCTCCCCTAGCTTCTAGTACTGCATTTATTCTTTGTGGCATTGAAGCAACAACCTCTTCAAAAATGGAGCAATCCAAATTTTCCCATTCTTCGCTTAGTGCAACTTTAAGTTTAGCCACAGTTCTTGGAAAGACCTTACAACTCTGGATATTGTCTTTTAACTACTTCCAGATGTTTTCTATTGGATTTAGGCCGGGAGAATTAGCCGGCCAATCAATAACCACAATTTTATTCTTCTTCAACCAATCCTTGGTTATTTTCGCGGTATGAATAGGTGCATTATCCTGTTGAAAAATTGCAGCCCTCCCTGTTTACTCATGAACTGTATGTTGAAATGGATATAGATATGAATTTAGGATTCTAATGTAAGTATTTGAATTGATTTTTTCATTTCCTTCTTTATTTTCATCACAAAAAATTAATGATCCTTTTATCCCTCCTGCAAAACATCCCCAAACTATGATCGATTTTCGACCACTTTTAAAGGTAGGTGTCAAGCATTCAGTGTTAAACCTTTCCCTTGTGTGTCTCCAAACTCTTAATTGTGGTGACTGCTTGCCAATATCAACACTAGATTCATCTGAGAAAATAACTTGTGCCCAATCATAAGCTGTTTTTTCTTTATATTTATCACACCAACTAATATGAGCTAATAAATGCTTTTCTGACATAAAAGGTTTTTTTTTGCAGCAACATGAGAATAAATTCCAACATTATATAATGCTCTTTTAGCAGTTGCAAGGCTGCAATTTAAACCTTGTGTATTAATAACTTCATGTAAAGGTTCGTATCGATCTTGTATAACTTCGTTTATAAGTGCATTTTTCTCATTATCATCGAGAGCAGGTGGACGCCTGATCTAGGTAAATTTTCAGTTTTCCCTGTCTTCTTGTATCTGTCAATAATTCTTCTTATTGTGGTAGGTCACGACCCAATTTTCTTACTATTTGTGCAGGGTTAAAATTCTTCATATATGCAAGTATTTTCCCTTATCTTGAGAAGTTAACTCAGTTCTGTGACATTATTTTTTAACTTTATAATGCGTTTACAGTTACACCTCGATATAACGAAGTTGCTGATCCAGCCGATCAGGACTTCGTTATAAGAATCTTTGTTAACGCTATAACGAATTATGCGGTATGTATAATGAATAATTCGTTATAGCGTTAACAAATTATTCGTTATAGTAGATGATTACTGATTTCATTACACAAATATAATTTTA